CTTGTCTTTATTTTTAGTTAGCACATACCTTAAACACTTCAAGCTGTAAGCTAATGATAGTTATATAAGAGCAGATGCTGCTGGTGCAATAATCTATATGTTTTATGTCCAATGGATGATGATCTGATTAGTCGACTAATCACAAAAATAATCGGTGACTAGTCGACTATCAAAATAATTGTTTGTGGCAGCCCTAGTTACAGGTAACATGAAACATTTCAAGCCTTTCTTTTTTTATTTTTAAGGATTGTGGCTTATTTCTTTTGAAAACCAGAATCTGGGACCTTGGTTTTGATTATATTTTTTTAGTTTATAATCTGGATGAATAATTTTGCATTCCAGAAAGCATCATTTTAAGGAAACAGCTGTAAATTGGTTTTAGGTTGTTTAGCATTGACCTTATTGTGTCAGCGTGTAACACCTTTCCAGACCATCATTTGGTCTTGATGGGTTGCACATTCGCTCTGTTTGGGCATTATTGCGTTAGCCGGACAGCGCGACCCTTCATATCTGCCATAAACAACGGACATGACTGGCTTCTTATTGCAGGAAATCTGAGGTTGGCAGGTAGCCATCACAAAGCAATTTTGTGCCAATGTGTTACTAACGATGCAGCGCGCTGCAGGACCACCACCTGCCTTTGTTGGGTAACAAGGTGATAATTGCAAACAGAAAGCTGAAGAAAAAGAGTCACAACAATGTCTAATAATGGCAAAGAAAAAGAAACTTGCACATGCCAAGCAGGTGATGAGAGGCCCAGATTCTCTCTTGAATAAATTACTAAATATTACATCAGTGCATCTGCCTTTGCTTTGTGTTTATCCTATATTTTATGCATTTTTCTAATTTTAATATAGTTCAGTAGAACATTCTGGTGTCATGTTTCTGTGTCTATGCGTGGGAGAGGAAACAAATTGGGGGCATTTGACGTTCAGCAGATGTTCTAGTTGGATTTTAAAGACTGAGGCATTAATTTACAATTACATGAAAACACCGTCACAAAGTTTCTACATTATTAATACATGATGGGGGGATTTTAATTGTCTCTTAATAAAACGAATGCTATCAGAGCAACGAGGTTTCTGGGTCTCTCCACGCTCGCTCGCAGTAATGAAACATGCTAATGCACCGCACACGTTCTACAGTCGCTGACCTGCTAACCTGTTGCAGGCTGGGATGATTCGCACCGAATCGGATGAGTACTTCATCGAGCCGCTGGAGAAAGGCACTCAGGAGCTGGAGGACCAGGGCAGGGTCCACGTGGTTTACCGCAGGTCAGCTCTGCTGCAGACTCCTTTGGACATCTCTGTGGATTACCAGCTACAAGGTAGGAGGCACAACCCGGATGGTTCCTGCTGTATTCTTATCAACTAATGGTGCGACACTCCTGTGAGGTCACTGCTGTGACGCTTCTCCGTATAATTAAATCTTTTTGTTAACTGCTTGTGTTCAGCCCAA